CTGATTCCTCAGGAGGACTAGAATGCCCAAGCTGTAAGGCTTATAGAGCAGGTTTGAAACTGATTTATACTTATGTTTATCTTCTAACACTAAATATAGAAGCACCTACTCTATACTTAGTGCTAGTCACTATTTACTGGCTCTATAGCCTGTTATTATTATGCAACATGTATAGTCACTATACTTAACTAAGTATAGTGACCACGTGGCTCTCTGCCACAATGCGACCCTTCGTACCTTAGGTACGGTCACACCTTTGTGTAACCCCATTACACCCTCGCCCACCAATCCGTGGGATACGACGCACCCACGATTTTTTTCGAACTTATTGGGAGTCATCGATTTTTTTTCTTCCCATTTTTGCTTGCCTCGCAATAAGTGCCGCGTACACTTGCGAACAAAGCTTAAAGGCTCTGACACTTGCTCCTTGAGCACCTGTGCTTTGCACACACGCTTCCTAAGCATCTTAGTGTTACGACGCTCGCTCTTTGAGCATACAGTGCATTGCACTCACGCTGAAGCATTAAGTGTTACGACACTTGCTTATAAGCGTTGAGTGCCAAGCACTTGGTATTATTAATACCCTTTGTGTGTTTACGAACACTTGCTTTCAAAGCACTAAGTGCCTAGCACTTGCTTCAAAGCATTCCAGTGACCACAACACCTGCTTTTAACGAACTGTCCCTAAAAAAAAAAAAAATTTTAATATTTAATAGAACAAAATTTGTTTGTTTGCTCTTGTTCCATCATGGATGATGCAATGCGCCGCGACATCTTAGGGGACGATGACAGTAACGTTGCTTCTAGGGGCAGCGGCGCCGAGTCTCCGTTTGGGTCATAGTACCCAAAAAATACCACGCTCACCGAACGAAGGACGCCGATCGCGTTTGGTGTCTTCTGCCTCAAGGATAACAACTGCATTGCGCCACCGCTTCCCTTGCGAGAGGGTACAGACGAAAAGGTAACCAACCCTCTTGACGCTGCACAGCGTCGTCAACTTGATGACGAGGCCCGAGCGGCCGCTTTAACACGGCCCAAACAAACATTTTCACGTCGTGATTATGGGTCGTGCCTCGGGACCCCAATGAGGAAGCTCGACGAGCTGCATCGGAATCTTTGTGTACCTATGTCATTGGGTCCCAGGCCCGTGCTGCTTGCGAGGTTGCAAATCGTACTGCTTTTCGTAAGCGGCTCCTTAATCCCCAGGCCCATGTTGGAAATGCATCTTGCAGTGACGCACACATGTGAATGCCCGTTGCTTAATTAATCCACCCAACTTACCCGTAGCAAAGCCCACACGGTACGATTCATAGGTGATGTCAGCGATAAACATAGCCGAATCAACCTGTCGGAAGCAAAGCATAAGGTTGTCACCTTCTTTGCCGTCGAACTTATCGATTTCCATTTGTATGGGATTTGGTCTGCGGACCACTTCTTGCGCCATAGTCGTCATGGGCGTAGGCGCAGAAGAAGGCATATGTGCCTTTACGTGCTCGACTAGAGCTTTATTATACTCTTCAAGCATATGAATACGCTTGTTAACCTCTTCTTCGCCCTGGGCGATGAGGTACCCCACGCCTTAGGGTCAAGGATAGGGAGCAGCTTCTACAACCCTTCCTGTTGTGCCTGTGACAGGCCAACCGTTGACATCTCATCGATGTCCATTCTCACACAGAGAAGTAGTCGCAAACCCAGGTGCGGTATTGACTACAATTGCTACCAGGTGTAGCCGAGCTACTGTAGCTACGCTACCTATGCACTATGTGCAGATGCACTATGTGCAGAAGAAGTAGTCAGACTACTGTAGCAAAGATACTTATGCACTATGTGCAGAGGAAGACAAGCTCAGAGAGCTTCTACGTCTTAGGGTGCTTAACCCTCCTATGCTAGCTCGTAAGCTTGTGCCTATCGGTTGTCACAACCGGGTTTCAGACAGACTAGTATCAATGATACTGATTCCTCAGGAGGAATAGAATGCCCAAGCTGTAAGGCTTATAGAGCAGGTTTGAAACTGATTTATACTTATGTTTATCTTCTAACACTAAATATAGAAGCACCTACTCTATACTTAGTGCTAGTCACTATTTACTGGCTCTATAGCCTGTTATTATTATGCAACATGTATAGTCAGCCTATACTTAACTAAGTATAGTGACCACGTGGCTCTCTGCCACAATGCGACCCTTCGTACCTTAGGTACGGTCACACCTTTGTGTAACCCCATTACACCCTCGCCCACCAATCCGTGGGATACGACGCACCCACGATTTTTTTCGAACTTATTGGGAGTCATCGATTTTATTTCTTCCCATTTTGCTTGCCTCGCAATAAGTGCCGCGCACTTGCGAACAAAGCTTAAAGGCTCTGACACTTGCTCCTTGAGCACCTGTGCTTTGCACACACGCTTCCTAAGCATCTTAGTGTTACGACGCTCGCTCTTTGAGCATACAGTGCATTGCACTCACGCTGAAGCATTAAGTGTTACGCCACTTGCTTATAAGCGTTGAGTGCCAAGCACTTGGTATTATTAATACCCTTTGTGTGTTTACGAACACTTGCTTTCAAAGCACTAAGTGCCTAGCACTTGCTTCAAAGCATTCCAGTGACCACAACACCTGCTTTTAACGAACTGTCCCTATTGCTCTTGTTCCATCATGGATGATGCAATGCGCCGCGACATCTTAGGGGACGATGACAGTAACGTTGCTTCTAGGGGCAGCGGCGCCGAGTCTCCGTTTGGGTCATAGTACCCAAAAAATACCACGCTCACCGAACGAAGGACGCCGATCGCATTTGGTGTCTTCTCCCTCAAGGATAACAACTGCATTGCGCCACCGCTTCCCTTGCGAGAGGGTACAGACGAAAAGGTAACCAACCCTCTTGACGCTGCACAGCGTCGTCAACTTGATGACGAGGCCCGAGCGGCCGCTTTAACACGGCCCAAACAAACATTTTCACGTCGTGATTATGGGTCGTGCCTCGGGACCCCAATGAGGAAGCTCGACGAGCTGCATCGGAATCTTTGTGTACCTATGTCATTGGGTCCCAGGCCCGTGCTGCTTGCGAGGTTGCAAATCGTACTGCTTTTCGTAAGCGGCTCCTTAATCCCCAGGCCCATGTTGGAAATGCATCTTGCAGTGACGCACCACATGTGAATGCCCGTTGCTTAATTAATCCACCCAACTTACCCGTAGCAAAGCCCACACGGTACGATTCATAGGTGATGTCAGCGATAAACATAGCCGAATCAACCTGTCGGAAGCAAAGCATAAGGTTGTCACCTTCTTTGCCGTCGAACTTATCGATTTCCATTTGTATGGGATTTGGTCTGCGGACCACTTCTTGCGCCATAGTCGTCATGGGCGTAGGCGCAGAAGAAGGCATATGTGCCTTTACGTGCTCGACTAGAGCTTTATTATACTCTTCAAGCATATGAATACGCTTGTTAACCTCTTCTTCGCCCTGGGCGATGAGGTACCCCACGCCTTAGGGTCAAGGATAGGGAGCAGCTTCTACAACCCTTCCTGTTGTGCCTGTGACAGGCCAACCGTTGACATCTCATCGATGTCCATTCTCACACAGAGAAGTAGTCGCAAACCCAGGTGCGGTATTGACTACAATTGCTACCAGGTGTAGCCGAGCTACTGTAGCTACGCTACCTATGCACTATGTGCAGATGCACTATTGTTATGATCTTGTGCAGAAGAAGTAGTCAGACTACTGTAGCAAAGCTACTTATGCACTATGTGCAGAGGAAGACAAGCTCAGAGAGCTTCTACGTCTTAGGGTGCTTAACCCTCCTATGCTAGCTCGTAAGCTTGTGCCTATCGGTTGTCACAACCGGGTTTCAGACAGACTAGTATCAATGATACTGATTCCTCAGGAGGAATAGAATGCCCAAGCTGTAAGGCTTATAGAGCAGGTTTGAAACTGATTTATACTTATGTTTATCTTCTAACACTAAATATAGAAGCACCTACTCTATACTTAGTGCTAGTCACTATTTACTGGCTCTATAGCCTGTTATTATTATGCAACATGTATAGTCAGTCCTATACTTAACTAAGTATAGTGACCACGTGGCTCTCTGCCACGATGCGACCCTTCGTCCTTCAGGTACGGTTGTATCACCTACTTTGTACCCAAGGTACAGCCACACCACATTGGTGTGGCAGGTGTGTATGTACTATACACACCTTCGTGTAACCGGCCTTGAACCTGGCTAATCGGTTTGAATACCTGCCTGTAAGGGTTGCAGGTACGCTCACAGGCGGCAGCGAATAGCTGGCGGCACAACTCCATGAATCAAGATCCCAGACGCTGTGGGCTCTTCTGCACGGCCTCACAGATTATCAAGTTTGGACTGCATACGGACACACCAACTGAACTTTTTTTACACTGGTCAGCCCCAGGAATCCGTACCTGATTCGTAGGCGACAGAAAACGTACGAGCACCTGTTGTGGAGATGTCCGTACGCTCAAGGGACTTGGACGCAACTCATCAGCCACTGAGAGGGCACTAAGGTGCAGCCTGGGCCTCGTCCACGGAGCCATCTAAGAAGTGCTCTGAGCTAACGTTGCGCCTTTTGGCGCGACAAAGCAGGAGTCTTGTACTAAACAGTCAACAGACATTGTGATACTTTTTTCATTCTAGTTCAGACAACATGAAAAGTGAGTATTCTGAACAGAACACATTAATGACCCAGTATGTCATCGCCGAAGTGGAAAAAATAAAGCTGGCAGTAATAGCTGCAAGTGCGCTAGGTTTCGCTATACTGGCGCAGTAGGCTTGTGGTTTTTTCCAAAGAAAACCCCACAAAAAATTTTTTTAAAAGATAAAAAAAAATTAATAAAAAAAATAAAAAAAAAGTTTTTTTTATATTTAGTGTTAAAAAATAAACATAAATATAAACCATTTTCAAACACGATGTTGTGGTGTCGCGCGCAATGGGCGGACGTAGTGCAGACCATAACGGAAACACATCACAATTCACGTGTATTCACACGTTTACGTTACTGCCAAACGTCCGCGCTACGACGTCAGTACGCAAGGCCGCTGCTGACGGTAAAGAGCTGCACCTAATAGGAACCAACTGCTTGTCAAAAAGGAAGTGCGATCTCGATTTTTCTATCTTCTGCACAGTCAACGCAATGACCAAGGGCCCCGTCAAACGCGCTTGCAGCTCCCGGAACTGCTCTTGAATCGACCTCTCAAGTCCGAGACCCGAAGCACTGTGCTTTGGGAGCAGAAGTCCATACAACCTGGAGATTGCTGTTGCGTAAAGAATTGTTCATGTGTACTCGTCACAACCTTCACCTCATCCGAGACAATAATTGAATGAAAATTGGCTGAAGCGCTTGCTATGAGAGTTACCGGAATCAGCACTTGGATCGTACGCTGCTGAAGGCGGACCCTCGTCGATAAACTCAGGGTCCACATATCTTGTATCTGTCTCACCGCTGAGCTTCGGAGTCCAGTGAGCCTTAACTTCTCGCCGCAATAACTTGTCCCAATCAATATCGCTGAAGAACTGACAGCGCTTGATAGCATCCACGCCCCCCCATGCGTTCCGATCCCAGCCGCTGCTTTGGATCCTTGCTCAATAATCCTTTTACCAATTCGTACGCATCGCATGGAAATTCCGATGGGAATACTACGTCCGAATATGCAATCCGGCTGAGCATCTTGTGCTCGTTCTCATCGTAAAATGGTGACTCACCAACCAGCATTTCGTACTACAATTATTCAATGACAAACGTGAAAAGTTAAGAAGGACGCAAACAAGCATTATAGGTCACAACATTCAAGCACTTACAATAACAACACCCAGACTCCACCAATCATATGCTTTGCCATAGTTACGAGAACCGTCGGCAGATTGTGCAAGAGCTTCTGGAGCCACGTACTCAGCCGTACCAGACAGCGTTTTGACTCCAAAATTACTGCCATAGATATGCTGCTTGGACAAACCGAAGTCGACCACACCGATGTGGCCCTCAGAATCGATCATGACGTTTGAAGGCTTGAGGTCGCGATAAAGAATGTTTAATTCGTGGAGATACGAAATTGCTAGAACAAGTTCGGCTCCATACAACTTCACGTCTTTCGCGCTCAAATGACCCTTCATGTTTAAATGGTAGAAGAGGTCTCCAGCTGCATAATACTTCATTCCCAAATAAAGTCGCTCGTTGGTCTGGAAGGCGAAGACCAAGCCACAGATGTACGGGTGATGAATACGCTGCAAAATCTGCCTTTCCTCCATAGCGTTTTGAACATCCGCCTTATCCATATTGTTTTTCTTGATAATCTTGAGAGCAAACACACGTCCATCCTTCTTAAAGCGGACAAGCATCACAGCGCCAAAACTGCCCTTGCCAAGCACACTCAACATTTCAAAATCTTGGATTGTAAGCGCCTCTGCTTGTTCACTTTCTGTCTTTGCTATTGTCTCAGACCTATGGCCTTGCTGCTTTATTACAATCATTTGCTGTCCCATTTGCTCCTGGTATTTTGAGTAATCAGCTGTGTCCACAAACACCTCGTCCTCAGTAATTCGAGGCACTGGAGCAACACAGCGGCATATAATGAAGCAGAGGCTGTAGCTGTCTTAGTATTTGACACCGAAGCGATTGAAGGTGGAATGGGTGTCGGGCAAGAGGACGGCACAGGAGGCGGCATGCCCGGTGACGGCTCTCCAACAAAAGTGCTTGTAGCATCAACCGAAGGCGGCCGCGGCGGGATCACAACAGCCCCAACTTGCCTTTGCAGTGACACCAGGAGGTGTGATTGACAGTGGTTTTGTACTTGGTGATAAAACTGGCTCAGAAATAGATGGAATTCCTAAAATGAGCTGACTGCGTGGGCAGCGGTCGCGTGTCTCCCGAGCTTCAACATGTGCACGAATCTGGGCCTCTTCAAGAGCTGCTGCTGACTTGGTAGTCTTGATCTGTGTTATTAAAGGGACACTAGCTGATGTAGCACCATGTGTAGACACTGAGCTGCTCTCACTAGTCGATACACTCATGAAATAGTGCTCCAGTGCAACCTGTACATCTCCACCAGCACCGTCTAGAAAGTTGGCGAGGCAATCATGAGACACATCTGTTCCAATAATGTTTGCCATTTGCTCGATTTTTGCGTTCGTGAGATGGATTTCGTCTGATATTGAGCTTTTTTGCCGCAGCTACGTTAGACAAGCAGTAGTACAATATCGTTAGGCACTATTCTGTCTGTCACTACCACAACTCGATTGCTTACCAAGTGCGATTGATCTCGAAGAGAAATACCAGCCGTCGACATGGGTGTCCCCATGACACTGATTGTTAGGTGGTCAACATCGATCGGGTCGTCGGGTTTCGGCAGACTTTTGACCGCATTGCGGGTAAGCTTTCCGTACAGATACAGGCGTTGGTTTGCGCTGTCCAGCGGCAAGAAACAAGCACATTAGCATCACAGAGAACTAAAAAAATTTGTAAGTAACCATCATTTCCTCCATACGTTTTAATGCGCTCAAGCCCGAGAAAGCATCGATGTACATTAGTGTTGTAGCTGCTGATACCGACAGGTCGCTCGTCCTTGCATACGATCTCCTTGTCCTTCCACTTGTAGCTCGTGAGAAAGAAATAGTCGCCCGGTGCCAGATTTTTGCCCAGTGGAAGGCCTCTGATCACAAATTTGTTTCGGTCGTCTTCAGACGGAGCTTTCCACTGCAGCATTTTGTTGATGGAGTTAACCTTAAGCCACAGACCGTTGCACTCGAGCGTCACGACGTCTCCATTAACAAAACCAGGTCGTTGGGTAAAAGGTGAAACCATTTCCAACAACTTTCCAGTGCGCCAACCTCTTTTTCTTAACCGAATGGTCAAAAACTTTTCGTTACTAGGCGTGAGCATGTCGTAAGCTGGGTCTCCTTTTGTAAGTGTAGCATAATAGGCTTCTGTTTTACTCACCATACCTTCCATAGCTCTTGAATGTAACGTAAGACTTAATCCTGACTGAATAATAGTGACTGTAGGGGATGAAGTCATCTCAGTAGCTTCCATCGGGGCAGTAGAAGCAGGAGAAGATGCCACCTCGGCGAAATACCAGTTCAAAGCGGCGCTTACATCAAATGCACAAGCATTTAAGCAAGTGAGTATGACACTTTGTGGTACATGTTCACCTAATATTGTACGCATTAGATCAACATCACTCTCAGTCGACGCATTCATCGTCGACAATGTATTCACAGTAGAATAACTCATGACGAGAAGGAAAAGAGTGAGTGAATAATGTGTATAGTGAATAATATGTGTACTGAATAGGTTACTTGTAAACGTTTTAGCCAATCATAAGACTGTTATATTTCCACCCAGTAAAAATCAATCAAATCAAATAAAAAAACCCTTGAGCGATTGTTGAAGTCGACTTGAAATGTGGCGCATCCGTCGTAATACGAATGATCGTGATGTTTTATCCCTTGTAATACACGGACCAAAGTTTCATAATGGTGAATTATTAGTACTTAATCCAGATATCTTTCCAGATATCAAATTACATGATTTAGTTGAAATTGTACAACTAGGACGTATTCATCCACGTCTTGTATTAGCTGTTGAATCACTTGCTCCAGTACGAGGTAAAGTACAAGTAAGTATTGCAAGAGATATTGCAATACAATTTGGTCTTGAACCCTTTCGATCAATTACTGTACGTCGTGTAGAACAGAAAGATGTTGCTGTAGATTTTGTAGAATTGAGCTTTAAGGATCAATTTCTATCAAGAGCCGACATTTGGAGATTTAAAGTCACAATGTTAGGTCAATGTGTTTACGTAGGAAGAACGGTCGAGTGTCTTGGTATACGTGGACAAGTAGATGCAATATTATCGAGTAACATACAGCTTTACTGTGGAGTGATTGGAGATGCGACCAAGATTGTCGTACGTTCGAGATCTAGTCGCCTCTTTTGGCTCGTACAGATGAGCACGGAAATGTGGGAGTTTGCCCCCGACGGACAAGTCTACTACGAAAAGCTTCTCAACCGTCTGATTCATGCGCTGATTAATAAATGGATTGAGAGCTCCGTCAGCCATTCTGTCACCATCATTGTCTTTTCCAGGAGCTTCTATGATGCAGACCAGTTTCCCGATGGATACGAACCAAGACAACCACTCTTTTCGGACCCGCAAAGACAAGGATTTAGCCCTGGCTGCAGCGTGCCAGGCATTAATATGGCTCACGGATATGGCCCCACGATCCATGTTGATCCCCTCTCTGGTCGATACTACGAAGATTTCTACAAGGTGGTCGTCATGAATTTTACAGGACCAGACTGGAGTCGATTGCTCCTACTACTCAAAAAAGAATTTGCAAGCTATTACAAAGTGCATCGGTGGCGAACACCAGAAGTGTTTTCTCCAGCACGGTATGAAATATGTCGTTTCCCAACGCAAAAGAGTGAGGTGGGTAAAACATCAACGACCGCTGCTGAGGGCTATGAAAACAGCGAGGAGCTGTACGTGAAATGGTTAACGCTACCTGCCGGAGTTCCATCTCGAGCTAAAGACGGCAACATTCTAGAAGCCATAAATGTGACATTAAATGTGTTGGACAAGCATTACATGGACCGCGACCTTAGCCGAACCGGACAAGGTATCGTGATGATGACAGCTGGATGTAGCATTTTCAATGTAAACAGCAAGCTTGCTAAGATCACAGAGCAGCGCATGATGGACAGCGGAGTGGGCATGGATATGATATCGTTGTCGACGCCGCCATTACATGTGGTTCCTTTGTTCATTTACTGCAACCAGCCACCATCAAAAGTGTCAAGTACCAACTCCGAGGTGCCAAGCTTCTTGCAAAAACGTTTCTTTGGTGACGTCTTAGGTGAAGAAGCAAAACCTCTAGAAGGCGTGACGTCCTTTAATGACATTCCAATCATGATCTCAATATTCCAACCTAGAAGCCCCGAGTGGGTGAGAGCTGGCAGTGATGTCCTCCGTCGACCACCTACTCCAGAAACGTTCAATGACACCGGGATCATGGCAGGCCTGTCCGAATCAAAAGAGAAAATGGTATATGATGTTCCACATTGGGTCAACATTGCGTTCTTGGACTTTGATTGCAGCTGCGAGCGAGGAAGCAGCAACTTCAGCCGGTCTAGTCCATCTACAACATCAATTTCAAACCAGCAAAAGCCAAATGGACAGCATGAAGGCCGCGTTTGGCATTCTTACGGGTGCCAATTCAAGCGTAACAAACAATTTAATCCGCTGCCATCATTTCGAATGTTTGATATCACCGCACCATCCGAGAAGCTAGTGTTCCCGGTGATGCTGCAGAACTTGATGCGAAAAGATTCCACAAAGTTATCAAGTTGCGACTTGAACGCCATACCCACTTGTGTTGATCATAATGAAAATGGTAGCATTTACGACTTTGAGAGTGGAGGCGTTTGCGTTGCAGCTGGAGCTCCTTTGTCAATTGAGGTTAACGAAAGTCAGAATCAGCTGCTATTCAAGACGAGCGAGCTTCCTAGCCTGGCATCGCCAGCGCACCCGCCAGAGCAATTGCAGCTTAGCCGGTCTCCTGACTTTGATCCCATTCTAGCTTCAAAAGGATTTCCTACCAACCTGAATGCTAGTTGGCGCGTGCGAGCAGCACTGAAGGCGTATGATGAGAGTGTATTCTTGCCTGTTGTGCGAGATAGCGGATCTGTCGCTGGCAGAAGTCTCTACGATAGACGCCTTAGTTTTGTTCCTCTGGAAATCCATAGAGAAGACGACGATGCCACCAGCGCCACCATTGCCAGCGATGGCCATCTTGAGTGGTTCCTTCGCAACGTAAAAAAAGAAGCAGCATGCATGAGAAAGCGTAGCCATAGCAGTAGCAACGGCAGACTTCTAAAAGAGAACCTTTTTCTCACCAGCGAAAGCACCAGTATGGCTCAGACGCTGATATCACCACGAAAAATCAAGCTTCCGCACAACAGACTAAAATTGGATCAAACTGATCGTACCATTGTGACGGCGTCATGCTTAATTCCAAAGGCAAGCGTAAACCCTTCAATCTCCCACGAAGTAACTCTTAGCGGTTCGATGGAACGTCGAGGATATCAAAGTCTCAGTGGCGCCCCAGGAAAGAATCGAAGTGACAGTTTTCGACCTCTTGTACGTGGTACGACCATGAACAAAGAGCTATCATTAACGTCTGGTAACTTACCTGTTTACACCTCGCCACCACGAAAGGACGGCTTCATCAGTAAGCTGACAAGCAGCCAACACCATTGCAGCAATCCAGGCACTCCTATAGGTTTACGCAGAAATCAGTCAGAGGTTTTGAGGGCACAGTTGGCGCCTGCAGTTCTGAGCTATAAGAATGTGTTGGCAACAGATCTCATGCTCACTCCGATTGATCGGCGGAAGGCAACTGTAAATCCTTTCCAGTACACCAAAGCTCAATGCTCCCAGGGTTTGTCGAGTGACCGACAGCGATGGAGCCACCTGTTTCCTGCTTCAAACCAATATTCACAACGCACATCTAATGACTTTCCATCGGAACTAGCAATGGAAGATGGCGAACCGATATTCGTTGGACCAAACTGGACAAGCCTTACGTCGCCAGCTATACTTCCACTGACAACCGATCATTTCCCGTCTCCGCACGAACTGCGCCAAGGATACTCAGAAGCATTTTACACACTGACTATTCCTACGACGGCACAGCAGACACCAGCAATCGAATGTGTACCACGCTATCGAAATCACAATGAACTGTTGATCGAAATGATCTGCCAGCGACTAGCCCGTGGTTTCCAACTTGTGTCCACTTGCGACTCAACTTCGTCGCTAATGAATCGTGAAATATCCCCTGGAAACCGGCGAAGAGTGTATCATTTAAGCATGGGGCATCGAATCCACCAGCTTATTTACGATGCTGAGCGGCAAACAGTCGAAGTAAAGAGGTTTGTCCAGCGTGAACCACATGACTCCAAAGTCGCCTCCATTTCCTACAATTACTCGCTCTGGGTTGAGCTCACCCAATCGTTTCAGCCGCATCAGCAAATATTCCACCGCTATCCGCAACCGGAGGATAACTGGAATGCCTTGGATAACTTGCTTTGCGGCTATCTCGATGATATGGCAGATACAATGAAATGCCGCAGAGTTCGGTTTGCTATTGTGCCACCTGTTCTTGCAACATCCAGTATTGGTGACAATAATTCCCCGACAGCGTATGCAACGAAGTTCACCAAGTTCATTGAATTTCTGCAATCTCGTGTCGCTCCTTCCGAATTCGGTGAACTTGAAAATATCATGATCAATATGGTATTGGAAGATGTTCAAAAAACGGGTGAACCTCCGCTGCTGATTGAGAACCGCATGCTAAGCTTTAAAATGGCTTGTAAGGCGTCATCCATCTCATTGTCTTCTGCTTCAAAGCTTGAGGACGCGAGGACCGAATGGGTCGTGATGCGCTTGGAAGAGACGATGGACATTTCGCGCTGTTTTCATCTGGACGTGCGCTGGTTAGCTTGCAGTGGAATTGGAGCAGACGAGTTTGTAGGAACTGTGCGGCGGCGAGCCAAGCAATCGGGTTTGGATTTGCGCCGTGTACCAGAGTATTTCAGTGTCTCGCGCGTGCAGATTCATCCACTCATACCGTCTGTCTTCCTACCATTTCCCGTTCAGATATTGAAATCTTTTGTTTCCACATTGGTTCAAACGCTAGATTTCGTGCTGGACGACGAACGAATTGCGGACGGTAGTCGAATAGGCTACGGCCTCGGCATTGAGGAAAAAAAACTTTCGGTTGCCAAACCCAAAGTCAGCATCCGTGGCCAGCGCCGATCGCCTTCAACCAATGCTCGGTTACTACTAGATCATTGGCAACAACGTGGATACAAGCAGCTTATTCACCGAAGTTTACCTGTGTCGGTGCGGATGATTCACAACGGACTTGTTTGGATCCCCGGGTACGACGATGACCGCAAGGTTGACCGTGCTACTAGTTTAGCTGCCACTGCCGCATTGTTTCGAGAGGTTTGCGCCACGATCAAATCGCAATGTGGTCATTGATTGTATATTTTGGGTACAATGTGAATTTCTTCCTTGTTGATATGATTTCGACCGTACAAGTCTTTATATTACTACCATCTTCCTCTAGACAATTTAATACGAACTTAACCCAATGTACTAGAGCAACAGCCGTCGTTCGGTCTACTGTTTGCAGGTATCTGCGTAGGTTATCATTCAATGCCTTATCAAGCTATCAGCGACAGCAGACTGACTACGCCTCCTTACTCAGTATTTATTTGACTAAGTACGATTAACATATTCTTAGCATGGCTAGTCAACCTTACAAGCGAGTACCGCCTTCTGCGCACCACCACGACAGTGACGAGAGTGATAGTAACGAGAGTGACAGTGACGAGCAGCACCATACAATTCAATCAAAGCAGTCAACGCTATGGAGCATGCGATTGTATGCATTCTTGTGGGTGGCCACCGCGGGGCTCATGAGTTATGGCACCGACTTTTACCGCGTCATTTTTACGGACCCGCGTGTTAAACGGTGCTGTAACATCTTTATGCATGAATACATTGTAAAGAGGGTAATATTGCTAATTTGTAGTGTTTTTATCTTGCAGTGGTTTCTTCCATGTAGCGCTGGTTTGCACAGGAATCAACATCTGCATCACAGCATATCTGATCATTTACCTGCCATACATTAAGCGCATCCAGCTTGAGTGGAGCATCTATTGTCCGAGGATGATCCCAATGGCAACTCTTATCGGGACTGTAGCTGCGTTCTGCTACATCTGCGCCTTGTGGCCAGTCTGGGGGCTCTTTACACCAGGGCTCTTGGGGTTGCTGCTCATCGGAGCGCTCATGATCGCGCACTTCCTACCATCAATTTAGCAAGAGCAGGGGTACGTGATATAACAAACAAACCAGCATTAATATTCTCCTTGTGGTAATGTCAAGGTTAACGGATAAATTAATGGAGATATTGACTAGAATTAGCGGCAGCGGCAAAAGCTCTTTTAAGACAGCACATCGTCGCAGCCGCAGTGCGTGCACTTGATGCACATGGTGTCCACTCCGTCTTTACGTGATTCCTTCTCCTTTTCAAATGTCGGGTCAGCGAAGCACGAGTCTCTGCGGAACAAAGGCAAAAAGAGTACTTGTTAATCTAACCATACAACACGTCGCTATCTCTCTCTCTTCTTTTTTCTTCTTCTTACCGATGCGTCATAAAAGCATTGACAATCTTTTCCTGAAAATCCTTCAGTACGCCATAGTTTACATTCTTAACGTGAAAAGTGAAGCCGCAGCTACACGCGATGTAGGGAATTGTTGCCCCCTTAAGTGTCTTCTCCCTTAAATAACCCGCCTTACACTGGGGACACAGCACAGAAATGTCTTGTGTCATAAGGTCCTGTAGATCTCGACATCCACTCTCGCTTAATTTCCCCTGCTCCTTTCGCTCGTCATCAAGGTCCATTCCAGCCAGCATAGCCTCCAGCTCGGCATCTTCGAGGTCGGCCATGTGTTGCAATTCCTCCTCCTCCTCGTCTTGCTTTAGCGCATCCTCAAGTGCATGAATAATTTCCAAGTATTCACTCTCTTTCATCTTTCCCAACAGCAGCAGGTCGTCTATAGACGCACAGGACGAGATGTGCTGCTCATGGGCTACAAGTCGCTGCATCTCCTCCGTGACACTCGTACAGGCACTTAGGTGCCGTATTTTGGCCAAAATCTGAACGCGATCCCGCTTTAGACGCTGCAGACAGCGCTGGCGGAGCTGATCCTTCCACACAGGCGGAGACAGCGACAGACGCTTGCACGACAAGCGATGGGTGGAGAACGGCGATGGTGATGCCATTTTTTCAATCTAAAGTTAAGATTAGCGTGAAATTGTGTCGCAGCTTTCAGTGCTTTATATCTTAGTATCCTCTACTAACAAAAGCTTGAGTGCAAAGCTAACAGGGCTGTCAAACGCTTTCTATTTTTATATAATTTAATAATTATGTGGCCATTTAGACCGGTGATGTACCTTTAGCCTGAATTTTTCGTCAGCTTTAGGTAAAAGCATATAATGATAAAATATTGTTGAAGGAAGAAGCGTCAATGTGTGACTGCATCCGTTATTTTGTTTTTGTTTTTGGCTTCGTAAACACTCTTACTCTCACGTCGGAAAGAGCCCGTTAAATAAAAATTGATACTATCACTAGGTGTCACTGCGAACACTATTGAATCAAAGTAGTCAAGTAGAGGTCGACCTTTGGGATGCTTCGAGTAGGTATGCTTCGCTCGGTAGGCTAGTAGGTGGCCACTCGGTTGACTAGGTCGAGGGTGGACTTACAACCAAATTCTTCGGGGAGATTATCGACCCTGGCCTTTTCCTTAATATCTCTGGGGCATTAATTGCCTGGCCTTTTCCTTAATATCTCAGGGGTGTTAACCGCCTGACCTTTACTTTCTCCCGAACCAATAGAGAAAGGAGACCGCTTCCGATAGCGGGTCGATTGGGGGGGAATGCTACTCCAACGAACTCTCAGGCCAGATATATACTGGGTCTCTTCTATTCATACTTGGGTCTTACCACACGTCATTCTTCGACGAGGGCCAAAATGTATCACCACACGTCATTCTTCGACGAGGGCCAAAATGTATCCCTTCCCGGAATAGGTGGGTGGACTTGGCAATTTCCTTTAAAGCGTGACGAAGTTGTACTACGCAACTTTATTAGTATTTAATATAGTCCTATCTTTTGACTCCTTCACTCTATCCTTGCCATGAAACCCGGTTCCTGATGCTAATTGGCTGGAATAGCGGGACCTTAAGGGTCCAGGGTCAACTGACGAAGGACCACTGTCGACCTCAAGGGACCAGGGTCGAGGGTCCACCGACGAAGGACCGAAGTCTAACTTGAATGACCGGGGTCTTACAAGACCGAGTTCTACCATTCAGCTGTCGCTTCTCCTCCGTAGTCTTCTTTCTTCCCGGTCCACCGATCCTTGGGCTCTCCACATTATAAAACCACTTCACCACATCAGTATTTAAGTGTGTGAAAGGCACGATGGAAAGGGGCGTAGGCGATTCATGCGGAGCTCGAGTCAATGCGACTTCGTGGAGTGTTTGGCAGCCATGGTGCTCAACGGACAACGTGCCATTGGTACCAAGTGGGTCTTCAAGATCAAGCGCAAAGCGGACGGATCCATCGAGAGTACAAAGCACGTCTTGTGGCAAGCAAAAGGCTTTCGCTCAGAAGTATGGAATCGACTACACAGAGACGTTTTCTCCCGTGGTCAAGTATGTGACCTTGCGCATAGTCAGTCATTGCGGTTGCCAAGCATTGGATGGACACCTGACCAACTCGATGTGATGACTGCCTTTCGTTATGGTGTGATGAAGGAACAAGTGTTTTGTGTGATTCCTGAAGATGCTGATCTGGATGGTGATTTTGACTGTCTGGAATTGGTGAAGGCAATTTACGGCCTAAAGCAAGCTTTGCGAGTATGGAACGAGACTTTTGACGAGTTTGTGTGTTCCTTTGGATTTCAAATGTCAGGCTTCGACCCATGTCTCTACATCAAGATTATAGAAGACCAGTGTGTATTAATTGTGGTCTACGCGGATGACGCGTTGGTGACACAGCTAATTGCACACACCAAGGAAGACCTGAAGACACGCTTCGAGCGAGATGACCGATAGCGGCAAGTGTGCATTTGTTCTTGTAATTAAGTTTTTGGTGGAGAAGATGGAAGCGTTACATTGTGTCAGCGCAGGTATGTGGATGACCTACTCAAGCGATGTAGCATGAGCGATTTCAAGGCTGTGTCAAGTCCAGTGGACATAAGCTCTCGACTCGTTTCAAGCGATGCAGCTACCAAGGCCAGTGTTCCGATTCTCGAAGCAGTTGGTTCTTTGATGTATCTGACTACTGTGACGCGCCCGGACCATTGCATATGCTGTGGGCTATGTGTAGCGATTCATGGAGAATCCTCAAGACGATCACTGGATTGCGTCAAGCGTATATTTCGCTATCTACAAGGCACTAAGACGCATGGAATATGCTACAAGCCTGGTGACAAGATCGACTTCGTGGATATTCGGGCGCAGACTGGGCTAGCGACATCGCCGACCGCAAGTCAACTTCTGAATACACGTTCATACTATTGGGTGCACCAGTGGGCTGGGGCAGCAAGAAACAACCAAGTGTTTCGCTGTCAACGAGTGAAGCAGAATACATTGCGCTCAGTTTGCCAATCCAAGTTGGCAAGTGGATTCATCGTTTGCTGGGTGAGATCATGACAGCTGCCAACGAGGACGGACCCGAGCTGATGATCTATGAAGACAATCAATCATGCATCAAGATGACGAAGAATCCTGTCAACCATGGCCGTTCCAAGCACATCGACATCAAGTCCCATCACATTCGTGATGAGGTCAAGCGCGACGAAGTCAAGCTCAAGTACTGTGAGACTACGGTGATGGTAACAGACATCATGACCAAGGCACTTCACGCACCGCGTCACAAGGAGCTGGCACAGGCGCTTGGCATCCGCACGTGTTCGCGTTGAGGGGGGGGGGTATTGAGGGTAACCGGTATACCGACGGCCTTTGACCGTGACCCGGGTAACCCCGAACCGGCCCAATAAGGTTCACGACTATGGTAAGGAATATGCCATGGAGTGCAGTGTGATGGTGATTATACGAGTAGGTTGAGGGAAGATCTACATGATATATATTGGTGTGGCAGGTAAGTATGTAAAATACACACCTTCGTGTAACCCCGTTACAAGTCTGGCTAACGAGGATAGCAGCATTGGCAGGAGCATCAGTGTGGCAACATGTTGCACTCCTGCATCCACTTCGGACTTAATTTTTGCCTCTCCAAACACTACCACTCAGGACACAATGAGTAACGGGACAGTCGATTTGGGCCTGCTTCCTGCCTTTACGATAAAAAATTCGCTTATGGGAAGGGGCATTGAGTTGCAACCTGCTGTCGCGAACGTCAGTACACATAACTTTGACTGAAAGCTACATAGGGCTGCATCAACGACTGGCGAAGATGCAACTTCTAGAACGGGCATTACGTGAGAGATCAGTTGTGGCTTGCTGAAGTGATGAGTATATTTATGCTAAACACACCACGGATTAAACATTGCTGCTTTGCGTAAAATAACCAAGTTTGTCCAAACAGGCAGCGTACAAGACATTAAAGCAGAAATTCATTGCACCGGTATAGTTTCAGCTTAACAAACTTCAGGATTGCAATGCATTGCAACCACCATCTCCAACTCGTCGTGATCTTTTAACTCACAAGTCTTCTCTTCTGTGTAAGATCGTTGTTCACTTGTATTTCTAATTAATGTTTAAGCATGTCCATAGATCATCGTCGAGAAAATGCACCATCTCAATAGCAACACCCTTGTTCTTGTTGCGATTGCAGACACAAAAATAAGTCATTGTCGCACTTTCACCAATCTTCACATATCACATTGCACGTACATGTTATCGGTGGACATTGTGAGGTTATCAACTGCCATGGCATGTTCCTTGCCTTCTGCCATAATAGCTTGTAGTACATACACACAATCAATCAAATACAACAATATTAAACTACATGAGCTTTTCAAAATCTAGTCAGACCCATTGTTATAATTCTTGTACATACCACTGGTGTACCAGCCTCCATCGACTCATTGGCGCCCTCTTAGGCATAAGCATCTCAGCATATGGTTCGAATGCTGGATACTGAACAATTACTTTTGTACGGATACTCCGCTGCTGTGAGGACTTGACCTAACTACTAGTACTTACGTGCTCCTCCACGCTAAACCACTAAACCATTGCGACCAAGAGTAACAATTATATCGAACCAACAAAAAACCTCTTGTGAGGAATATTTTATCATCCAAGCTAGTTTTATAGTTTTGATGAGATCTCAAGTTATCAAGATACAATTATGATTTTTATAGACAGGGAATATGGACTAAATTAAGTGAATCCAATATTTCGAGTGATTAAAAACTAGAAGAATCAAATAGTGGATAATATCCATTCTCGCAAGCGATCTATTGTGACTAAACAACTTATGGAAGCTCAGAAACTAATTGGGAGGATGAATGCTAGAATCTAGTGATTAACTGTCTTTAAAATATAAAACGTGTGCTTACACTAAAATCCGTCTCATTTACCTACATCATATTTCATACAACTATACCTAACATACTAATCTAAGCATAAAAAGCAAGTATGCTATCAGTTGTTCTAGTATCTTCATGAATAATACCTCATTACAAACTCAAAAGTCCTTTAACCAAGTGGCACCCGATTGTTTACAATGAAAGCGCATTAATGTTGTCGTACCTGCTGGTCCTCTCGGTCGTATCGTAAGTAAAAGCTCAATAGGTGATGGTCATATTGTTGTGGATGGTTTTCGTCCCGTAGGAGGCTAAGGAAAACCCGGTGCTCTTGAAAATCAGGGTGAAATTGGTCCAAATTCCCTTCTTTTAGGTGTTAATGAGCATGATTTTACAGACGCGACAGCTTCATGGACATTTGAAAAAATCTGTGATATTCTTGTAAGTTCGAGTAATGCCGAACGTACTGTACGTTTTCTCGTGCCTCCACCACCTCCTGCTGTTCAATTTGAACAGATTGCTGCTCATGAAAGTAATTTAAACGGTTTGCCGATGTTTACAGCCTAAGAAAAAACTAGGAGCTGGTACATTCTCAGTAGTTCGAGAAGCGACACATAAGACAACAGGTGAACGTTTTGCTATTGAATGCCTTGAACGTTCACAGCTAACAGCAGATGATTTACAAGCTCTCGTCGCCGAAGTAAAACTCTTGAGAAAGATGCAACATCCACATATGGTCAAGCTATATGATGTGTTTCAAGTGGAAAAGTATTTCTTTAGAGTAATTGAGTTTATGGCTGGTGGAGAACTCTTTGAACAAATTGTCAAGAAGAACTTTTACACAGAGAGAAGCACGTGTTTGGTCGAAGTATTGCTCGAAACAATTGCAATCTGTTATGATGCAAATGTCGTTCATCGAGATTTGAAACCAGAAAACGTATTGCTGAGCAGTGCTGAGATGATACAGATATTAAGTTTAGACTTTGGTGTTGCAACCAAAACAGCGATTCAGACTCGAGATGCAGGGTTATTTACGGCCTGTGGCACCCAAGATTTTAATGTCAGAGCCGTACGGTAAGCAAGTGAACATTTGGAGTTGCGGTGTCATCACGTACATTTTGCTCTGTGGATATCCGCCATTCCATCATGACAACCAGAACGTACTCTTTCGACTCATTAAAGCGGGACGCCATAAATTCGACTCGCCATATTGGGATGATGTATCTGCAGAAGCCAAAGATCTTATTAAAAAGATGCTGATTTTAGCACCAGCGGAGCTATGGCCAGCACGGCAATTTCTATACCATCAATAAATTGCAGCAGATGCCGGTAAGGACGTGCAGCTTACTACGGCACTACAAGAGCTGCGGAAGTTCAACGCGCGGCGTAAATCTCGGTCTGCGGTTAGCATTGTCAGTGCGACAATCTCACTCACAAAGAGGCTAACGCTCGGTAACTGTAATCGTCCCCAAAGATGTCGCAGCGCATTGCATCATCCATGATGGAGCAAGCGCTAAAGTTAAGCAAAAATGTGCTTTATAAGCATGTGTTGTGAACAATTAGGTGCTTTATAAGCTAGTGTTAGACGCTATGGTGCTTTATACGCTAGTGTTCGACACTAGTGTGCATTTTAAGCTAGTGTTAACATTACGGTAAGTGTTACACACTTATATGCCCAATCGCTTATAAGTAAGTGCTTAAAACACTAAAATGCTGTAAAAGCAAGTGCTAGGCACTTAAGTGCTGTAAAAGCAAGTGTTCGTAATTACACAAAGGGCATTAATACCAAGTGCTAGGCACTTTACGCTTATAAGCTAGTGTCGTAACACTATAATACTTTAGCGTGAGCGCAATGCAATGTATGCTCAAGGAGCAAGTGTAGTAACACCAGAATGCTTAGAAAGCGTGTGTGCAAAGCACAGGTGCAAAAAGAGCAAGCGCTAGAAACACTAACGCTTTATTCGCAAGTGCAAGCACTTATTGCGAGGTAAGCAAAATGGGAAGAAAATGAAATCGATGACTCCCAATAAGCCTGAAAAATCGTGGTACGTCGGGTCCCACGGATTGGTGGGGGAGGGTGTAACGGGGTTACACGAAGGTGTGTATTGTACATACACACCTGCCACACCAATGTGGTGCGGCTGTACCTTGGGTACAAAAGTAGGTGATGTGACCGTACCTGAAGTACGAAGGGTCGCATCGTGGCAGAGAGCCACGTGGTCACTATACTTAGTTAAGTATAGTGACTATGCAGGCTTGCATAATAATAACAGGCTATAGAGCCAGTAAATAGTGACTAGCACTAAGTAGAGAGTAGGTGCTTTTATAATTATTGCTAGAAGATAAACATAAATATAAATCAGTTTCAAACCTGCTCTGTATAGCGCTAGTTGCTAGAGCGTTCTTTTCCGTATAGGAATTGTATCTTTGATACTAGTCTCTTGGAGACGCGGTTGCTTGCAACCAAAGGAACAAGCTTGTTAAGCTAGCCTTGGAGAGGGTTAAGCACCCTAAGACGTATAAGCTTTTTGAGCTTGTCTTCCTCTGCACATAGTGCATAAGTAGCTTGGCTACAGTAGCTCAACTACATCTTCTGCACATAGTGCATAAGTAGCGTGGCTACAGTAGCTCGGTACAGTATCAACACTATGTCGATATTGTGGGTCGAATTTTTAGAAGCGCTGAGAGAATTGTGGTATACAGGAAACACTTCCTTTCATGGTAAGGTTTCTCTTGCCGCATGATTTCACCATGCCAACTGACGTTCATGCGGTGTCAGAATGCTGCTGAACGCGAAGAGATTCAGCACAGATGAAGGTGGTGACCACAAGACAAGCCCGAATTTCTTACACATATTGTTTTTACTGGAATCAGATGCGATACAGATTCCCCCACCGTGTCTTTTGCAGCGGAAGCTTCAATTGCTTAACTGTTGCATTTTCAGGTGATAGGGATAATGTTTATATATCTTGTTCCTCAAGTAGTAATTAAGCGCTTTAGGCTATCATAATCTATAAATTTGTTTACTTTGTACGGTAGAAAAGCTCAAGAATCAAAACCAGCTTCAGTCATCAGGGTTAGCACAGACTACAAGAGACGAGAGAGTACTGGCGTAGAAGATGCTACTACGTACAGCTCACCAGTAGCGGAGAGTGAGGAAGGCAAGAATGAAGCAGATGGCAGTCCAAGCGACGATGAATTTTATGACTCGATTGCATACATAAACGCTTCTTCGCCTTTACCGCCTCAAGCATCGAAGCATCCTGAGGGTGTTCTTTACGAAGCATTATGAGTTGTTTGTCTTCAGACAAATGAGCCATTGTTGGAACCTGCGACCCAGATGACTGTACCAATAACAGAAGATGTAGCGAGGCGACGCTCGATCTCAGAAAGATCATGGGTCCATGGGTCATCGAGCCTGCCGATGCTGATTGATGAACTGGGTCATCAACAGTTCCACGACGAGCGCCTCTTGTCTCGGCGTCGTCACCAAGGTCTTACCCAATATTGGTGATGTGGAGGGGTTACCCCTAGTCGTACGACTCGTAAGAGTATGAAGTACCCCTCCAGCATTGCCCTGACGCCGTTAACGTTTTTGACCAGGATGGTCAGAAGCGACGACAGCTGTCGTCGGACACTTCCTAGTACTAGGCGCTGTGGAAGCAAGGTCAGTAGAATGGCTTCGCCTCTGACCTTGAGAAGAAGCCGACGCCGGTACATCACTCGCGTGAGAGGTGCGGGCAAAAGCTTCAGAAGCTTGTCCCCCACAAGTCTTTGACCTGTATGTGGAAGGTAATTGACGTTTCTCTTTGAGCTTAGCAAAGTTAAAACGTAGGCGACGTTCTAACCAAACGTCTTGCGCTTTAGCGCTTAAACGAAAGTTTGATAAACTTGAGAGCTTACATGCTCGTTCTACCCAACGGGGGAACTGGTGATCATCTTGCGCAGATGTTTCACCTGGTGCAAGCACCTCTAATATTTCGTTCAGTGGATGCACAGGCACTCCACCTGACTGTCGTGATAGTCGCTCCTGATACGATTTCATCGTAAACTTCGGGGGAGTAAGGAGCCGCTCACGAAGAGCAACACTATCTGCATTCTCGCAGGCCGTACGGGCATGGGACCCAATGACATAGGCTCGCAAAGATTACGATGCAGCTCGTCCAGCCTCCTCATTTGGATCTCGGGGCACGAACGCATAATCACGTCGTGAAGAGGTTTGTTTGGGCCGTGCCAAAGCGGCCGCTCGGGCCTCATCATCAACTTGACGACGCTGTGCAGCGTCAAGAGGTTTGGTTACCTCATCGTCAGTACCCTCTCGCGAGGGCAGTGGTGGCACTTGGAGCAATGCGGTTGTCTCGTTCGGGGGAGAAGACACAGAATGGGATCTAAGTCTCTCGCTTGGTGAACGCGATTATCTTGGGGTACCATGACCCGAAGGAGACTCGGCACCGCTACCTCTAGAGGCAACATCACTGTTATCGTCCCCAAAGATGTCGCAGCGCATTGCATCATCCATGATGGAGCAAGCGCTAAAGTTAAGCAAAACTGTGCTTTATAAGCATGTGTTGTGAACAATTAGGTGCTTTATAAGCTAGTGTTAGACGCTATGGTGCTTTATACGCTAGTGTTCGACACTAGTGTGCATTTTAAGCTAGTGTTATAAGTGTTACACACTTATATGCTCAATCGCTTATAAGTAAGTGCTTAAAACACTAAAATGCTGTAAAAGCAAGTGCTAGGCACTTAAGTGCTGTAAAAGCAAGTGTTCGTAATTACACAAAGGGCATTAATACCAAGTGCTAGGCACTTTACGCTTATAAGCTAGTGTCGTAACACTATAATACTTTAGCGTGAGCGCAATGCAATGTATGCTCAAGGAGCAAGTGTAGTAACACCAGAATGCTTAGAAAGCGTGTGTGCAAAGCACAGGTGCAAAAAGAGCAAGCGCTAGAAACACTAACGCTTTATTCGCAAGTGCAAGCACTTATTGCGAGGTAAGCAAAATGGGAAGAAAATGAAATCGATGACTCCCAATAAGCCTGAAAAATCGTGGTACGTCGGGTCCCACGGATTGGTGGGGGAGGGTGTAACGGGGTTACACGAAGGTGTGTATTGTACATACACACCTGCCACACCAATGTGGTGCGGCTGTACCTTGGGTACAAAAGTAGGTGATGTGACCGTACCTGAAGTACGAAGGGTCGCATCGTGGCAGAGAGCCACGTGGTCACTATACTTAGTTAAGTATAGTGACTATGCAGGCTTGCATAATAATAACAGGCTATAGAGCCAGTAAATAGTGACTAGCACTAAGTAGAGAGTAGGTGCTTTTATAATTATTGCTAGAAGATAAACATAAATCAGTTTCAAACCTGCTCTGTATAGCGCTAGTTGCTAGAGCGTTCTTTTCCGTATAGGAATTGTATCTTTGATACTAGTCTCTTGGAGACGCGGTTGCTTGCAACCAAAGGAACAAGCTTGTTAAGCTAGCCTTGGAGAGGGTTAAGCACCCTAAGACGTATAAGCTTTTTGAGCTTGTCTTCCTCTGCACATAGTGCATAAGTAGCTTGGCTACAGTAGCTCAACTACATCTTCTGCACATAGTGCATAAGTAGCGTGGCTACAGTAGCTCGGTACAGTATCAACACTATGTCGATATTATGGGTCGAATTTTTAGAAGCGCTGAGAGAATTGTGGTATACAGGAAACACTTCCTTTCATGGTAAGGTTTCTCTTGCCGCATGATTTCACCATGCCAGCTGACGTTCATGCGGTGTCAGAATGCTGCTGAACGCGAAGAGATTCAGTACAGATGAAGGTGGTGACCACAAGACAAGCCCGAATTTCTTACACATATTGTTTTTACTGGAATCAGATGCGATACAGATTCCCCCACCGTGTCTTTTGCAGCGGAAGCTTCAATTGCTTAACTGTTGCATTTTCAGGTGATAGGGATAATGTTTATATATCTTGTTCTCAAGTAGTAATTAAGCGCTTTAGGCTATCATAATCTATAAATTTGTTTACTTTGTACGGTAGAAAAGCTCAAGAATCAAAACCATCTTCAGTCATCAGGGTTAGCACAGACTACAAGAGACGAGAGAGTACTGGCGTAGAAGATGCTACTACGTACAGCTCACCAGTAGCGGAGAGTGAGGAAGGCAAGAATGAAGCAGATGGCAGTCCAAGCGACGATGAATTTTATGACTCGATTGCATACATAAACGCTTCTTCGCCTTTACCGCCTCAAGCATCGAAGCATCCTGAGGGCGTTCTTTACGAAACATTATGAGTTGTTTGTCTTCAGACA